TTAATATATGTTAGGGTTTGAATTAGAAAGAAATTACCAAATCATTAGTGAGGACTAAAAATTATTAATGAGAAATTTTGGTGAATTTGATAAAAGGGTATTGTCGGTGGCGATGTCTGGGGGAGAGAAAAACAGGAAATTAGATGAAAGAGGTAAAAAATTAATATTACAAGTCAAAATAATTTGTTGAATATTTCCAAAAAATGAAAATGGAAATCACACTTTCCTAGACTTTTGGTCACGTTGCTTTAAATTAGTAAAGTACAAAGTAAGAAACAAGCTAATTTACCTGGGGAGCTTCTGCCACAAAATCAAACATCTGGACCAAAAATAGAATTTTAAAAATGCCCATGCCAGGGATTGGGATTCAAAATTGTGCAATTTGGACCATCTGTTTAAATTATTTATTTCATAACTGATAATCAAAATGAATTAGAAAGAGGCAAATAGCTATATTTTGGGAAAAAATGAAGGATATTTGAAAGAGGTCCTTTCATGCAAAGCCGACGAGCTTGGAGAGAATAACCAAGAACGATTACTTGTCTAGATTCATTTATAGAAATTTAAATTTGAATAATTAATTTAACATATCTATTAAACTTATAAGAAGGTCCAATCTGTTTAAAAATGTATATGGAGGTCCAAAACAGAATCTGTTAAAAAAATTGGGGCGAGTAATGAAAAAAATTGGAGACCGTCATCCATCTATCTCTGAAAGTGTCCGTTGTCCTTGGCCATTTGATAGGGAAGCCTGCAAGGGTTGCAGCAGAATTTCCTGCCATGACTGGGTGACTAAATTGGCAATCTTTGGTAACTGTGTAGGTGATGCAACGTGAGCCGTTGGATGGCTGCAGCTGTGGGTGAGCCCAGATGATCTTGATGGCAACCCCACTCCAGTGTTTGCTTGCCCAGAAAAATGTGGCCAGTGACTGAGAAATGAGTCTTCCTGCTCTGACCTACACCTGCTGAAGCCATACAGTTGCATTAGATAGCTGCACCATTACCACCTCTGCCACTTAATTTCATTTTCACTCTTTCAGTTTTTCTTCATCAGTCATAAGTTCGGGTAAGGGAAAAAAAAAAAAAAGTTGAGGTGAGGAGAGGCTCATCTTAAATAAAAGTTTTTCAGTGAATTTATGAATCATTTATCAAGAAAAATTTACCGTTCATAAGTTGGTGAGATCGGTTAAAGCAAATTATGGACGTTAGTAAGGGTTTATAGTGAATTTACAGGTCACATGTCTAAAGAGATTCATTTGTTATAAATTGGTAAGAGGGATCGGATAGATCTGGCAACAGTAATTATTTTCAATTTATTCTTCTTTTAACTGTTTTTAATTTCAAATATTTAAAAAGCTATCCAGCTTTTACTGACTTCTAGAAATTAAATATGGGTAAGTGTGGAAATGTTAGCTTGATATTTATTTCGTAAGTAGGGAGGGTACCACAGTCTTGCAAGTTAACAAGCTTTTTCTTAAGCTGAGGAGTTTGTGTAATCTTAGGTTTTATTGGTATTCCCTTAAAATATAGAAGTTTGTGACTAATATTTTGTTCCAAGAAAAATAAAAAAGTAGACAAATTTGATGACAAATTTATATTAATATTAATAAAAAATTTTTATTTACAAAAACACATATTTACAAAATTATTTATCAAAATAAGTTAAATAATATTCACGATTAAAAATCAAATTTTAAAAGCTAGATCTGATAAAAATTTAGTTTTTTCACCGTACAAGAGAAGTAAAAAGATATGACTTAGAAGTTTTACCAAACAAATCTTGTAAGCAGTGCCAACGTGTCATTCACATGTATCCATATGCTCTTTTGGCAAATAATTGAAAAAAGAAAAATCATATATTGTCCAATAGGCACTGGATTTTATCCATTCTAAGTGTGAAATTAAGAGAACTAGAACCATCACTATTTTAAATATAATAATATAAAAATTAGGACTTTTTAATATGTTAATATTAATATAAGAATTTTTTTATATGTTAATATTTGAAATTATGGTTTTTAAAGCCAAAAATTCTGATTTAAACCTTTTTTAAAAAAATAAAATAAAAATTTTAAGAACTTTTGAGAGTGCCAAATAAGCTCAAAAAGCCCTAGCAAATAGGGAAGGTGATATCTTGACTAGGCTTTTGGGCTTTTCCTCCTGTAAAGGAAGAAAAAATTCGGATACATGCAGGAGCATCCAAAAATTGAGTTAGGAAGTTTTCAAATCAAACATGTCACCACTTTCCGATCCGAATACTGGGTTCTGTTGAGCCAAAGGGGCCACGTACTGCCATACCAAATATTATTGGGGTACTTGAAGCCCCAAGTCATCATCCAATGCTCAGCAACAATTTGACTCCTTCCGGTCCACAACAATGCTGGATCAATCAGACTGCCTTCACTTCACTATCACTGCTCATTTGACGGTTCAGATCTTCCTTGAATTCTTCAATTTTCTAGCAATAAGCACCCATGTCCTGTTGGTAATATATATTTAAAAACATGATTAAGCATTTTCCACAAGAAAATGGATTTCAGAACGCCTAGCGTTCTAGTTTGGGCCTAAAGATTTTTCCTTGTTGAGCAGGCCCAAACTTTCAGCAGGCAACTGAGGCCCAAAAATGTATATGAAGTTTCCAAACTCAGGTTTAGTTCTAAGCCCATTTTCTTATATGCCTACAGATCACAGCGGGCGGGTCGGGCCTGGCCTAGGCTTTTCACAGCCCAAGCCCGATTCGGGTTGGCTAGGGTGGAAGATGGTGTACACCCGGAACACCATTTGCTTTATTATTAATTATAATTAGTGAAATATATAAATAACAATATTACTAAATATTTTTATTATTCATTATTAAAATAAAATAATTTATTACTATGTTAAATATAATTATTAATATTATTTTTCAAATTTAAATAAAACAATGTGCAATTAAAACGTACTTTGAACTCAATTATTTTGTCAAGATTCGAATCCAGTCAAATGGATTTGGGCCAAAATTCAGCCGGTCAAATTATGTTTTAAACATTGGTGCCCCTATTTTTCTCTTATGCATTCTTAGAGAGACGGAGAGGCGGATTTATATGAAAAGATGATTTATTTGATAACATATTAGAAATTAAAAAAATAAATATATTCAGACATTACAGATTAAATGCGTTTAATTTTATTGAATATCCCATCATTTAAATATGAAAAATTAACTAAAAGCGAGTTAAAATTTTAAGTGAAACATTTTTTATTATTAATTGTTGGTAATAGGGTGAGGTCTGTCCGTGATAGGTCCAATCGGCTTGTATTATTTTTGAATCCAAAGAGAGAAATTATAGCTTCTCATAATTAATCTTACAAACCTTTATATAAACCCATATAATGTAAGGTTAAAAGGTTTCTTGTAAATTTTCTTTCCAAATAGTTTATCTCCCAGACATATCAAAGAACAATTTAACTTGTGAATTTGAAGAATTAATTCGTGATATTTTTTCACGACCAAAGTAAGTGCTTGTCGATAGGAATCTATCAAATTATTTCACTCCAAGAATCCAAGATAAGTTAATTTTGGATCATATTTAAATTATCAAAACTGACATTAATAAATGCTAAAAATAATTGGGAACGAATAATCTTTTACTTACATTATAAATAATTATATATGTCTTCAATTTTTAAATTTCAAAAATTCAGTACATAACTATTTTAATACTAAAAATTCAATGTATAAAATTTTCAACACTTACAATTTTTAATTTCATCAAACAGGGACCAAAATTTGCAAATGTTTATATTATTGTGTAATACTTCAAATACTTACCAAATATTACTTTCCTAAAAACTACCGGATCTTCCAAGTGTTTTCTAAGTATCTTTTACACTTGATTCTCCTTGCCTCCACTAGCTTCATTTGCATTCCTACTATACTAATTAAGCTTATTACATGATCTTAGTTTTCTTTTCTCTTTTAAATTATGCATCAAGTTATGCTTAGGGAAGAAGGGTGACAATTATAACGAATTATAATAATTTATTTAAGCACCTAACATCTTAGTCAACTTAATTGAATTAATGCCAGAGAAGTTGCTTCCAAGGAGAGAAAAAGATCCCCCTTGCTTAATGGTAAAGGTATTTGTACTTTGATTAGATCTACAATCTATACTTTAATGTTTTGTAAAATATTCATCTAGTGAAACACCGGAGATGTCCAATTTATTCAATAAACAAACAAAAATTAAATTTTCTTATAATTTAGAAATATAAGATAGAGTTTGGACTCATACCATTGTTGTTTTATAGATCGATTACTTTGTGTTTATAAATAAAAAAGTACAGAATTATATTTATTAAAAAGAGAGGCGCAAAAAATAATATTATATAGCAATCCTTTTATTATTATAAAATGATAGATTTGACGCTGGGGCACACTTATTGGGGATAGCACTTCCAACAACTGTTGAATCTAGTAGGACTAGTAACAAATGTGTATGAATCCCGTAAAGTCAATGGTAGCTGGGATGCATTGCTGTGGTAGGAGTGCCGCCTCAAATAAATCCCAAGAAATTCTTTGTTATTTCTCAATACTCGGGGGCTAACAATGAATTTGATTTCTTCATGCAAAGAGAAGCCCACTTGGCAGGTTATTTTTGAAAATATTTGCAAAAAAATATATTTATCTTTTTATTATAAAGTCATTTTCATAATCCTTATGAGTTATTTTCACTAGAAAATAAAAATAATGCCTTAACAATACAACTTATAATCCTTATGGGTTATATATATATATATATATATATATATATATATATCAAACAAAAATCTCCAACAACCCACTATTACATTTAGATCCCAAGTCATGTGGGCTGCTCCGTGAATATATAAGTATGACAAGATAGTGTACAGTACGTATTGATTGACTTGAGGGGTACAATTTTATCAGTAAGTTCAATTCATTAGGGTCGACATCATAGGATGTGATTAAACCTTAGCATCTTCCTAATAAGATCTCAAGAGACAACCAATTGCTTTCCTGGAGACCGGTGGCGGTGCAGCGGCGTCGTATTGGTGTCAAGGTAATAGAGGAGGATCACCATGGACAAAGAGGTAGCAAACATGGGTACAGGCCCAAAAAACCATAGCAACAAGTTAATGGCAAAGTAGAGGGCCCTAAGCCCAAGTGACCAAAAGTCACTACCCCTAATCACCGTCAATTCCACGTATTTGGCCGGTAGAGTTGTGTTCTCAAAGCTCACAAGATAATTGGCATGGATGAAGGACCTAGCTGATTGAACAAAGCATGAAAAGGCCAGGATGAAGCATATCAAGAGGCTTATGTACTTGATGGAGATGGTGGAGGGCCTGGTGTCGCCGTAGACCAATCCACTTTGGAAGATGCCTGAGTTGCTTGCGATCCACACCCCGATGAGTGAGCTCAGAGTGAGGGAGACCGATGCAAGGAAAGTGGCTGCATTGGTGTTGGATCCAAGCACGGTTAGAGCATTCTCCTTCTTCTCCGTCTACAAAAATGAAAAACAAAAGAAGAAAACAAATAACCCACTTCGTGTCAAGACTAATCATAGTTGGACAATCTGGATATACCCAGAATTTTGACTGCGCACATGAACGAGAAAAACTAAGGATGTTAAGTTTGTGGCATTTTTTGCTGTATAAATTCAGTGCTTTAGTTTGTATCTAGAAGCCCTGAATCGGGCTTCTTCAGAAAGGTCTGAAAAATATGGATTTTATATTCAAAAGCCCTTTCTGCGTAAACGTCCCTGCTAGATTTAGGACTTCTAATTGAAAAGCCCTTTAAAGAAGTAGAACCGAATAACCCAGTGGTAAGTGTGTGAAAGGGCCAGAGAACAAGGAAGAAATAAGAGGATTGCCTTGCCTGCATGACATTTTCAACCCAAGCTCTCCTGTCGTGATTCTCAAAGCCAAAGATTGTGGTGTGGGGGAGATTGAGGTACCTGTAAAGGAGGAAGAGATGGTATCCAAACATGAGAATTAGCCCACTAGGGAACAGGACCAGATCAAGGTACTCCTTTGGGAAAGCCATGACTGGCCAAGCGAGCAAGCTCTCTCTCCTACGGAAAGAGTTTAATTAGACTGGTTTTCTTAAGCCTTTAACTTGATTCATGCTCTTCCTATCCCAGTTTGCAAGGAAGAGCATGTGGTTTTTGATTTGTTTATATTGCCATCCACATTTTTTATGGACAACTTGCAATCTTCTTAATTCATTCATGTCTAAGGTGGTTGATTTGCAATAGACACATAAAATTATATCAAAGGTCACAACTTCCTTAGAATGATGGACTAAGATAACCATTTCCTTTTTTTTTTCTTGCAAATCTCTCCCATGTTTGTGTAGAGGAATTAAGAAGAGATACAATAAGCCATTATTTCCTCCAAAGAATTATGTATGCTTGAGATGAATAGCATCTTGACCTACTTCTTATACTGGCAGAAGAGGCAAAAAATTCTACTATGGCATGGAGAAAAAAAGAAAATTCAGTTGAGTGGAAGATGAGTTTAGGTTATCCTTGCTCGGGGTAAAGCAACAACTTTGGCTTGAGACTGTTGAAGGTCTGGAAAATGACAAGGAAATGAAAATTATTCTCTTGCTCTTCTTTTGGCTTGATTAGAATTCAATTAATATAGTGGGGTGCAATCAGAGATTGCTATAATTTTGTACTTGTATGTTTATTCAAATTCATACTTGAATAGTATTTGAACTTAATGAGGAAAAAAATATGCTATAAACTCAAACTATGTTAACTTTCCGGGTGAAAAAGTTTAACAATTTGTAGAAGACGGTAATATGGTATGCCAGTTTTTTTTGCTTTTTGTTTTGTTCAAAGGTGAAAAGGTAAGGATGGAGTGATGTTGCAATAATTGAAAGTAATGGGAACTAAATTGAAATTTCATAAATTCTCGGGAGTCTATCCCTGTAAGTTGAGCTACCATGTAATAAAGAGATCAACTTTTAAATGACATACATGCATGAACAGAAGACACACACCCACCACTACTGTAATCAGAAGAGCGGTCATCTCTCTTATCATCGCCAAGACTGATTTAGTTATGCAATTTAGGGGGAAAAAACACCAACATTATTAAATTTATAAATAAAAATTAATTAATCATACAATATAGTAAACTTCCATCAGGGAAAAGGGTGAATTTCCGAAGGAAAATTTCTGACAGATGAGGAAACCGTTGCTTTTTTGGTAGATTTTTTAACAGAAATCCGTCAGATATATTTCCAATAGAAAGTTTGACAGAAAGTTAAAAATTTTGATGAATAAAATATTTCTGATAGATTTTCCACAGAAACATTTTGTCGGAAAATGATTTTGATATTTTAAAAAATTAAATGAAAAATAATTTTAAAAATGATAATTTAATATTTGTTGAAACAACTTTTTTTAAAAGATTTTAATATTTTTGATGGACAAAATCATCAAAAAAATGAATTAAAAAATTATTTTAATATTCTGTTTCTAATGGAATAATCTGTTAAAAATAATTTTTTTAATTTTTTATACTTTTCTTATGAATAGCATTGTTAAAAAAATAAATTTAAAAAATTATTTTATTCCAACGAAAAAATCTGTTACAAACAAATCTTTTTCAAATTCTTTTATATTTCACCTATTTCCCGCCTCTCTCTCTCTCCCTCCCTCTCTTCCCCTATAATTTTTATTTTATATAATTATATTAAAAAATAAATACAAGTATATAAAAATTTTAAAAAATATTTTTACAATGTATTTCATTAAATTTAGATATTAAAAAAAATTAAAACGAATATAAAATAGTAAAAATAGATTTTCAAAAAGATTATTTCTTAAAAATTTTAATTAAAAATTTATATATATAATTTTAATTTTGAAATGAATAGATAAAAAACATATTAACATTGTTATGTCATTTATAGTCTTGAATGTTATACAAAATTTAAACAAAATATACTCATTAGCTATACTTAACTTATCGATTTTTTTTTTATTTTCAATTATTTTTTATTATTAATTGGTTTAACCATCGTGACCCGATAATCTTACTAGTTTGATAATTAGTCTGGGTTTTAAAATATTGAATATTATAGTAAGATATTAAACTTAACATTCGGTAATATTAATATAGTAAAATACTTATTTATTTTTTATTATCATATATGCATATTTGTGTTTCTCTCTCTCTCTCTCTCTATATATATATATATATATATATATTAAGTAGACACATATATATTCATATATGTGTATATATATTTATGTATAAATATAATAATATATATGTATAAATACATACACACATACACACACATATATATATATACATATATATCTTTCTAACATAACCTATTCTAATCTAGGTTGACCTAGTTCAAATTCAATCAAATCTATTTCAGCCAATTCCAATTGGCTCCTTCAAATCAAATCAAACTTTAACCTCAGTCCAATCTCATGTCACTAAACCTGGTCTCAAAGACTTATTGCGTCAGACTGGTTGAATATTGTGACCTAATACAAGGCCACTTTATTTTAAAATTTTGTTTGGATTTTTTTTTTAATTTAGTTTGGTTTGGTTTGATTTAAAAACCAAACCAAACTATTTAAAATATAAACCAAAATTTTAAAAATATTTCTCTCTTATAAAAAAATTATATATATGAGTATATATATATATATTCATATAAGTATATTCAAGTGTATGCATCTACATGCACTTGTATGAATACATATATTTACATTATGTACAAATATGTAATTACACATACATATGTATACAAATATATAACTATATGCATACACACACATATATATGCACATATATGTATATATATTTACATAAATCACTACAAAAAAATTTGTTAAAAACGGCAGTTATATTGTGATGATTACTAGTAACCGCCGTAATATGTAGTACAATATGGCGGTTTAAGTAACTGCTGTACTACACATATAAAACGGCGGTTGAACCGCCATTTTGAAATAAATTTTTTCAAAAAATTTATTTATTTATTTTTTACTTTTTTTATCCCTAAATATAAAAGGGATAGCATATTTTCAAGGCAGCCCTCGCGACTCCCTCCCTTGATTTCCCGATTGTGAACCCTACCCCCTCCTCTATACTACCGATCGCGAAACCTAGAGACCCTCCACTGCTGCCGATCACGATTTAGTCCAACTAGCCATCCTCTCCAAGGACGACAACTGCAGTAAGGCTATTTTCTCCTTTTTTGTATATTTTCCTTGTTTCTGTTGCTTGATAAGGGGTAATCGGTTGAATCACTTTTTCTCTGTAATTTTCTGTTCTATTTTTAATATTGTGGGCTTTTAACTGGTCAAAGGTAGGAACATTAGGGCTTTTAACTCGATTCGATATGAGTCGGCATCCCACTGATACGTATCTCCAAATGAATTGTATAAAGAGCATGAATCCATTGTTGATCGAATTGCACCATGTGTGATGTATCTGATTCTTAAAATATTCTTGAAATGTTCAATATCTATGAATTAGTTTCATGTTTTCTCCTTTTTTTTTAAAAAAAATCATTTTTTATTTTTATTTTTAAAAAATGGATGTCATCCCTGTTTGTTAGTATCACAAACAGTACCAGCTCCAGTAGACCGTCAACCTGGCTGAAGTATTTGTAATAAAACTAGAAATATTGTTAATGAGAATACGTGTTATAGCATTATTTGTTGCAATGGACCATGCAAATTAGTTTATAAGTTGAGACCTGATTCTAAAAACAGTGCAGAAAAACTATACCAACTTGCTTCATTGATGACATTGGTTGGGCTGAAATTAGTGGAATCTGGTGTATGTTGCTGGTCCCATAAATATATATTTATCTGCACGAACTCGTTAGTTGAATTCATTGTTAGCTAATACTTTCAAATGATCCCAGAGTATACCCACTTGCTCCCAGGATATTAGACATTAATGTTTAGAGTCTTTAGTCTTGTCGTGTCGTGTACTGTTCTTCATGCATAAACTTTGAGTTCTCCTAAATTAGCCGTAATCAAGATCCATGCATATGTAATTGTTATTTCAATGTTCATTAATTAACTTTTTAAAAAATGGGTTGTTGCTTTAGATTTAGTCTAATAACTTGAATTTAACTTGTAATCCCACTAGTCAAAACATCGATGCCTTGGATTATGTATTCTTTGTACATTCATTGATATTCTTGCTCTCTCAATGACTGTTGAAGAGAATGGAAGAGTATAGAAGTCAATAAAAAAATTGAAGATAGAAAGGTAAACTTCTCCAAAGTTGTAAAATATTGTTGGGTGCTTCACCCTATTTGGTGATTATCCATTTCGAATTCCTTAAAAACTCTATCAAGTTTCTGAAGCTCTATCTATGCTCTGAATTCTTTGAAATTTTATTCAAACTCAAATCATGATCAAGTTAATTTGGAGAGAATTGATTGGTGAAGGATTTAGATCCTCATCGCCTACAAAATCTGGTTATTTTTTTAGTTCTGTGTACCAGAGTAGAGCATAGTGAGGGGAGGAAAGAGTTATTGTCTTCTTCTGTATTGCATTTTTTCAGGAAAAAAAAAGAAAAAAAAAGGTGAGAGATTCCCGAAGAAGAAGAAGAAGAAGCCAAGTATTGCCATTAGCCATTGGCTATGAACAATTGCTTGTAATTCCTGCTATTATAGTGATTTTTTGGGGGACTTTTCATATAAAAAATCTGGTCTTTTACAGTTTGATTTCTATGATTTGCTTCTGCATTCTTTCTCTTTGTTTATGTGCTTTCTACACTCTTTTATTGTAGGGAATTTCAGAAAATAGGGCTACCAAAAATAAGTTGAGTATTATCATTTACTAACCTGATGTGTAAAATTAGATTGATCCTTGTTTTCTAAAGTTTTTAATGTAGTTACGTTTAAAGGAATCTATATGTCATTCTCTTCCTAGAGAGATGAATTTTATTATCTTTGGAACTTTAGGTAGCTGTGCTATCTTGGGGAATGGAATTGCTTACTTTGTTTAATCTCATTCATTGCAGCCAAAAGCTTAGTGGATGAACTTGAAGGTCTTGTCAGAGAAGTAATTGGTAT